GGCATCGCCCAGTGAAAAGTGTGTTGGCCCACGAATACACTTCCCAATGGTGGCGTGCCATATGTCCATTATGGACACCATTATGGCACCCCTAATGTACTTGTAGCACTTCCCTAAAAGAATATAGTATCCCTCTTGATCCAAGTTCAAATCTAATAAAAAATGATGAAAGGGCAGTTGTTCAATTGGAGTACGAAAGTGTTATAGAGAGTCTGATGTATGCAGTTCAATGCACAATACCGGACATATCATTTGCAATTAGTAAGCTTAGTATGTTTACTAGTAATCCAAGCAATCATCATTGGAAGGTCATTGGAAGAATTCTTGGATATTTAAAGAAAATCAAGAATTTAGGTCTACAATACACTAAATTTTGGATATCTAGCACGGGCGAAAGTAAATCTACTTCAAGTTGGGTGTTTACTTTTGGAGGATGAGCTGTTTTTTGAAAATCAAAGAAACAAACATGTATAACACACTCAACTATGGAATCTGAATTTGCAGCACTATTAGAAATCGGGAAAGAAGTTGAGTGGCTTAAGGATCTACTCTATGAGATACCTTTGGGACTAAAGATTACATCATCAATATCTATCATGTGTGATAGTCAAGTCACGTTAGCAAAATCATACAATGATGTATACAACGAAAAGTCTAAACATATGAGTTTTAGACATGATTACATAAGGAAATTAATCAAGGATGGAATAATTTCCCTAAATTATGTGAAGTCAATTGAAAATTTAGTGGATCCTTTAACTAAACCTCTAAATAGAGATTTAGTGACGTCTACTTCGAGTAGAATGTGGTCGAAACTCTTTAACTAAAGGTCCATTAATAATAGCAACCTACCTGTCCTTGCTTATCAAGTAATTTACGGGTTTAAAGGGTAACAGCAAATCATTTGATATATGGATAATTTCAGTATTATATAATCCGCAATAACCATATTCTAATTAAATAATGCTGGTTGTTACTGAAATGAGGGTTGAGTTTTAAAACTCTTAATGAATTTCAGTACTAAGTACAAATATCTTTAAAAGTAACAAATATATTGGAAGAACTTTACCTAGATGAACTTCGAGGTGGTGCCGCCTCCATAGAGAGTTAGAGTTTCTCTCTTAAAAGTTTGTTGAAAAGGATGAGCGTAAAGTCATATTAGCGCTAAGCGAGATTGAGGAACTTGAGAGTACGTACTACTTGTGTGTGTGTTCTTACCGGTATTGTCATATGAAATAATTGGTTCAAAACTTTCACGCTACCTTTAATTTCGGTTTTACTTTGTTTGAATTACACTATGATTAGATTCAAATCGAAAGATATCTAATCCTTATGCATAATTATTATATATTTTAAATATAAAATTTTATTAAAATTTTGAACAATTGGGGGATTGATGGAAATATTGTTCAAAAGTTAA